CTGCTGAGCGGCCCAGGGTTAGGGTTAGGCCGCTACGGGAGGAGCTAGCTGTTAGCTAGCTACTGCAGTAAAACAAAATAAAATATGACTTTATTTCTTACCATCTTCAACACAGAGCCTTTAAAACCACAAAATAAAATCTGAATATTGTTCTGGAAAACTGGTGGTGTAAGTTATGATACTTCCCAAATATTCAATTCCTACATATTTATAGGTTTTAACATGAAAACCCCCAAAAAATAAAAGTTTAAAGCAACTTAAGTTATCATTTAAATAACACATGATTTGTATTGAGAACCACTGCAATAAATCAATATTTATGAGGAATTTTATTAAGTGTAGTTACTTATTAAAACTTTTTTATTTAGAGCCTTAAGTTTTTGTAAAGGTGTAGCAGAGATTAGATCTTTGAACCAAACTCAGATCTAAACATTTGAATCTTAGTTTGACTTCTGGGTCTCAACAGGTTGTTTACTGAGAAAAACACTTTTATTCATTGCTACTTACTACTCATTTTTGATGGTGCAGCTTGAACAAAACATTTAAACCACATTTTACTATAACTTTGCTGACCCCCCCCAAAATTGCTCTTAAAAAAATTCCCTGTTTATGCCCCCCGCCCCCATAATGAGATGGGATCTACGCCCAAACATCTGGGGAGTCAAACACAAAGTTCTGCTGCAACTGTTGGTGGTTCCAACGTTTACAAGAAGATTTCACAGGTTAGACTTTAATGCTCTGTCAGCCACAATCATTAACATTACAAGAAATGAAGGTTTGTCATATTTCACTCTGGATTCTCCCTGAAGCCATGTTGGGTTCCAGGATCAGCGCGTCTTTGTCATGGAACAGCAGCAGGTGTGACCCCACCAGGTCCCAGGTGAAATCTTTGTCTTCTTCTTACAGAGGCTTTACTCCAGGAAGCGAACGCTCATCTTGTGATCGATGTCCACTTTCTCCAACGACTGGAAACAAAGAACATTTTAAACCAAAGGTCAGGGGTCATCAGCTTATTTAATATCTGAAGGATAAGTACTAATTTTTTTACTTGTATTTACTGTGACTGATATGTAGTATCTGCAAACTGGCTCCACTGAACAGACATCCTCCAAACCACCAGGGGGAGTCGTCCAACAATGACATGGAACCAAACCCTCAGTAAGGCGAGAAGTCCAGAACAAAGTTGGAGGAAGAAAGAAAATGTGTGTTATGCTTTGTGCCGTTTTCTAACATGTAGGCTCTTCCAATATTATATAAAGGCGGCAGCAGCATTACCTACTCCAGACTCCCCCTAGTGGTCTGGAGGACTTGCTTTTTGTGGAGTGAGTTTGCAGAGTTTTTTCAGTTTTGCTTTTCCGGCATTTTCCCTTTTGCCTCCTGTGGCAGTTGCAGCATTTTGTTTCGCAGTTTGCATCATTCATATGTTTGCAGTTTGTTTTGCCGTTTCTTGTGCGTTTCCATGTCGCCCATCTGGAAGATGCTACTGCAATCAGACCTGTGATCGGTCAGCTGCTTATCAGTTCATCATAAGAATACTGATCAATCAACTTAACTCATTAATTGATAAATGCACCTCTAATGTGGCTTCTTCTGGTGCTGAATTATGATGCATGTCTCACCTCAACAATGTAAAATGTGTCATGACCGTTCAGACTTTTAAATCCATCAGATTTCTGGTTTGGTTCCATAAATGGAAATGACACAAATCAGATTTTTTCTGTATGTGAAAGTTTGGAGCCACGCTGTTCAGACTGCCGGGAAAAAGTCCCATATGGGTGAGAGCACCTCACCATCCCCTCCTGGTGGAGGAGGAGCCCCACCGCCACATGCTGAGGTTCTGGGAGCCGAACCGGACCCACCTTCCTGAACTTGTCGAAGCAGATGGCGTCGTCCCGGTCCAGGTCGGCCTCCTGGATGGCGCGCTCCGCGATGCTCTGCAGCTGCTCCTCCGTCACCTGCAGCCCCAGCATCTCCCTCAGCACCTGCAGGATGAAGCCAGGTCAGAACCGGAACCACGATTCTGTCCTGCCGACAGAAACGCTGCAGCTGGAAAGGATGTTCCTGTTCCAGGACAGCGGCTGGTGAAGGTTGCATGTTCTTCTGTTTTAATTGTGCAGTTTGTAACTTTTATAAAAATATTTTTTACTGTCATGACAGTTTGGTATGAGGCAGATTATCTGTGAAAAACCTCGAGCTCCTCTGGCTTCTCCCAGAACTAACTAGAAACAACCAATCAGAGCCAGGAGGCGGGACTTAGCGCTGTCAATCACCCTTCCTGACAGCAGAGTCTGTCATGAATGCTAGGCTAGTTAGCATGGCCACCAATACACAGTTTTCCTGTAACAGTAAGTTGTTTCTCCACTATTAGCAAATTTAGCAGTGAATACATGGGATTGATTGACAGCGCTAAGCCCCTCCTCCTGACTCTTATTGGTTGTTTTTCTGCATTTCTTCAGACACCAAAAACAGGCCAGAGGGGGGATCAGTCTGTTCTCATAACAAACTGATGAGAGTTTGAATAAATATTTTAAAAACGTTTTAAAATAAAAGCACTGCAGCTTTAAGGCTCACGTTGTGTTTAGTGGCTTCATGCTCAGTTTACTTTTTACAGCTGTAAGTGTTTGTCGTGTCGACCTGCAGCAGCTCGGTTCTGGAGATCTTCCCATCTCGGTCCTGGTCGTACAGCTGGAAGGCAACTGAGGAGGGACATTTCCTCAATCATGACTGCATTTCCAGGAAGTTTCAGAGAAAATGAGAAACCCAGACTGACATTTGAGTTTCCGGTTCCGGCTGTTGGCCGGCTCCGGCTGCACGCCGTCTCGGGTCCGGTTTTTCTCCGTGGGACGGAAGTGAGCCAGAACCCGGACAAACGAGGGAAAGTCCACAGTTTCCTGCCTGCAGAGAGGAAGGAAGGCTGAATGCTCCTGACTTCCTGTTCAGACCGGTAAACTGAGCAGAGATCCGGTTCTGTACCCCGGCTGGAAAAAAGCTCCAACGATTCGGTCTCCGATGGGATTCTCGGACAGCTCCGCCTCCAAGTCCTCAGACCTGAGACCCAAACAGAACCAACCTGAGCAGCCGAGTTACATTGGTCTTCTCTCAAAAACATCAGCAGGATTAAAAAGACAGAGTAACCCTGGAAATGACATAATCTGATCCAAACAGAATCTTTTAGGTTGGTTTGGATTCTGGGTCCTTCAGACTGAGTCGCAGGTTTTCTCTGGGTTTGTTGATTCCACTCTGGATAAAAACGGTTAAATATTTAACTGTGGAGATTCTCCAGATTATCCTCAGATTATCGTTCATCCCTCTCTGGTTTATAGCCGACATCAAAGGGGTCAAAGTTCATAGCAGCTCATTCAATTTAAAATACTCAGTCCTCTGAGTCCAGATATTCTGGTTCTGATGGAGGAGCAGGCGGCCAGCCAACACCTCCTCCTCCATCAGAACCATGCAGAGTTTGGGTCAGAAATGAACCCGGGTTCGGATCAGAACCGGACTGTCCCGCTGGCCCACCTGAGGTGTCCTCTGCTGTCTTTGTCCAGGAACTGGAACCGCTGATGGAGACGGAGGAGGACGGCTGCAGAGACTGGAATCACACAGAGGTTTAATCTGGGTTCTGGTTCTGGTTCTGGGTTCATTTACTTCCAGCTGGTAGATGAATGTGGGCCCCATACGGGATTAGCTCAGCTCTGACCATTCTGGACTGTTCTGGTTCCGACCCAGATTCAGGAGAACCCGTTTGGTTCTTGTTTGTCCTTTGCTTCAGTTTGATGTGAAAATACAACCAATAAATCAATAAATACTAAATCAGAATATTGATGGATATATTAGAGTAATGACACCGTATGGACGCCTGGGGGCGCTCTTCAGACACCTGCTGCCATTTTTGGCAAGACTCACTGATTGTACAAATATATGACAAATGGGCTTGCCATACTGCTGCTGGTTCTGAAGTCATCAGTTTATTACAAACTTCCTGAAATATTCAGTTATGCTTCTCATAAACACCCAATTTTTTAGACGCTGAACCTGAAATAATCTAAAATAATCTGGAGACGCTAAGCCTGAAATAATTAAAATAATCTGGAGACGCTAAACCTGAAATAATTAAAATAATCTGGAGACGCTAAACCTGAAATAATCTAAAATAATTCTGTTTTCTGCTATGCAGCAGAAAACAGCAGCATGACGACGTTTTATCTTCCTGCCCAGCGTCTCTATCAGGGAGGACAGCAGAGGAGGAGACGCAGATAAACACACACACACACACACACACACACACACACACACACACCAAGCACTTTACAGAGCAAATATCTCAGTACATTAAAGAAAACAAAACTAACTTAACTCTTGTTCACTTGTAACATTTTCCCATGTTTAATCTGCTACTTTTTAAATTCATATTTAAGAACTGACTTAAAACAAACTGCTTTATCTTGCTGAAAAGTTACTTGAAGTTTTTTCTTATTTTAAATGTTATTTTAAAAATACTTAAGATTTTGTGTTTCTGCAGTGAAACACCAGAACAGAATCGGTTCAGACCTCAGAGGCCTTGAAGTTTACAGAAAACATCGTCCCTGATAGAGAAACTATCATTTCTGCTGCTGAGCTACGGAAACAACTTCACTTTTATCTTTCTGAAAAAGTCGGTATTTTAAACCTTTTTAGCAACAGGAGGTTTTACCGAACCGTCCAGAACCGAACCGAACCGTCCAGAACGCTCAGGCTCACATCCGGTTTCCTGCAGGAGCTGCTGGCCGTCCGGGACGCGTCTCAGGCTGGAGCGGCTGGAGCCCATCTTGCTGCCTGCGGCTGCCTGCTGCGCTACTGCAGGCGGGCTGCTTGGCCAATCACATCTCAGCAGACAAATCCACCCAGTTTCCAACAAATAGAAGTAAGTACACCCTAAAGGCGTCTTCTGTTTCTGCTGGTCAGACACACTGACACCTCAGTGAACTTAACATCCAGAAGATTCTTCCAGAACAGGAACACTTAGTTTTTATTAGAAACTGTGGAGTTCTCAGTACTTCTACTAATTTAGAGCACACTTAGAAAGTCCAGAGGATACTTACACTTATTTAGTAACCCAGAACTTGGAATCCAGAAAAACTACCAGCAGCTACTTTTTAGACTCCAGTTCTTCCAAACCAGAACAGGGATTAGACCAGAGGATTCGTTTCTACCAACCCTGAAGTTTAACTTCATGACATGAAGATGCCGGTGGCTTCAGTCAGCAGAACTCCAGCAGAACCGGCCCAGATCCGTCTCTGAGGTTCTGGTTCTCCAGAGAATCTCAGCAGAACCTGGACCCACACCTGGACCAGAACCGCTCCATCAGAACACCAGCCACCCGTCCCGCAGGTCCAAAAGAATCAGAACATCTGAATCTCTGCAGGTCAGAGATCAGGATGCAGCAATGAAGAGACAAAATGGCCTAAACAAAGTCCCTCATTAGGCTTATGAGAATAAAGCACTAATGGCTTTATTTTCATAATTTATTCTTTTATTTGTTGTTCTGACCCTCCATCAAAGTATTTACAGCTATCAGCTGCGATCAATAACTGATCAGAATCCCCATAATGAGTCTGGCTGCTGCTGCCCTCAGCTGGACACCAGGTGGCGCCGTTTCCCCAGAAATCAGATCCTCTTCCTCTTCTTTTGTCCTCACTTTCAGTCTCATTTACTTCGGAGTTAATGTTTGGCCAGGAGCAGCTGACGGATGTTTTCTGTTCAACACAAACATTTCCAGATAAAGAAGTTAAACATCTGCAGAGCCGTCCGTCCCCCCGGTACCAGGAGTAACGGCTCCCGGTCCGTTTGTTGTTCTGAACCGTTTATATAATCAAATAAAAGTCGTTGTTATAGAACTTTGAAGTTTTATTACTAATTATCGGCTCTCTCCCTTTGGACTCGGATCCGTTTACGACCATAAACTGCCTCAGCTCAGTTGGCAGAGAGTCAAAGTTTTCACATTCCTCCGCGAACAACAGCGGTCCAATCAGCAGCTCCGGTTTCCCTCCGCGAACAACAGCGGTCCAATCAGCAGCTCCGGTTTCCCTCCGCGAACAACAGCGGTCCAATCAGCAGCTCCGGTTTACGGCCGAAGCTGCGGCGGTTTATAGTGAACACATGAAATACATCAAGTTTCCACAACGCCTGAAGCAGTAGAGCGTTTCTGGGCCCAGGCTCCAGAACCGGCCCAGGCTCCAGAACCGGCCCTGGCTCCAGAACCGGCCCAGGCTCCAGAACCGGCCCAGGCTCCAGAACCCGGTTTTCCATCATCTTGGTGAAATGTCCTGGAAGGCAGCAGATGTTGACCTTTTTATTCATGTTTCCATAATTTTATTCATATTTTGAAGAATATGAAAAGTTTGATGGAAACATTTGAAATAACTTATTCAATTTGGCAAAAAAAGAAAAGTTTATTCTGGACTGAGACGGTTTATGGTTTTTCTGAAAGAGGTAAAGTTCTAAAGATGGAAACACCTACAGAAAATGTTCCAACGTAACGAATGCTGTGCCTTACCAGAGGCACCAAACTCACAGTCCACATCTGCTAGCTAGCAGCTCCCACTTCCTGTTAGCAGCCTCCACTTCCTACTTATTCCAGCCATGTAGCGTCAACTTGTGATGACATCACACTGCGCAGTCGAAGCAGAAGATGGAAACATCAACTCATATTTTCCTTTTTTATTTCTGTTTTGTGAATTTTAAAAATGGACTTTAAATGTTTCTGATGGTTGGAAGGAAACAGAACATCAGGCAGAGCAGCTGCTCCGAGCCCGCAGCATGACACCACCTCTGTCCATCAGAGCCTGGCTGCAGGGACGGGCGATCCGGTCCACCGGGTCCAGGTTCTGTCAGCTGGATCGGGTTCTTGATGCAGAACTTCCTCCAGATTCCTTCAGTTTGAATCTGGAAACTTTGAAGATTTTCTCTTGATTCTAAATGGAGATCTTAGATTTATTTTTTAACACTTTCTTTGTGATTTCCTGGGATTATGAAACTTTCCCCAAACTGCAGCGGGATTATTCAGAACCTGATCACTGGAGGAAGGTTGTGCAATGTAACGGTCGCCGTGCCGATCGGGTTTTTAATTTACTGGAACTTCTTCCTCGTCACTTTCAGCCTGTGCGGTTATTTCCAGGCCTGGAGAACAAAGGCGAGGAATGTGGAGGCGGCGGTGACACGTGGGCGGGATGAGAGCTGACAGGCGGAGGAAAAGCGACGCGTGGCGAGGTGAAGGAGCGGTTCCATCCCGACACGGTTAGACGTCTGGAGATCCACACCGATGCTCGTCAAGAGCAGAAACGTTGCAGCAACAAAAAGATCTTCAGGAAAACCGATAAAACCACAGAACCTGTTCGGACCGGATCACAGAACGGATCAGGAGAAGAACAAACGTTTCATTTTATACACAAACACAGAGTGAACAAATCAGAGAGAAACGACCTCCAAGAGACCTGAAGGTCAAAGGTCACCAATCAAGATAAATGAGGAAATGGAGGGACAGGAGGACAGGAGGACAGGGGGACAG